TTCAGAGTTCATGTAATACATTCGGAATGTGGTTTATCATTGTCTTGCTGAAATAATCAAGGCCTTCTCTGAAAAAGACGTCGTCTGGATGGCAGCATATGTTGCCAAAACATGTATATATCGTTCAGCATTCATGGTACCTTCACAGATGTGCCAGTCACCCATGCCATGTGCACTAATGCACCCCTACACCATCATGAATACTGGCTTTTGAACTGTGCACTGATAACAAGCTGAGTGGTCTTTAGCCCCGAGGACACAGTGTCAACTGATCACTGCTGAATTAAAAATGTAACTGACAGTTTTAACCCGAAGGTCTTTATGCTTCTGATTTTTACGTCTAGTGTGTCCCATGTTCTTCAGATTAAAAGATGTGTTTACATCTCCGTGCAAAGCGATAACTAATGACTGCTGATTCACCATGAACATACTGAAATAAACCTCCAGCCCATTTATCTGCTTGTGTCATCCATAAATTCCTGGCACCTTGTGTGACTTTCGTCATGCGTTTAAAAGCCTGAGAAAAACACGACCAGCACACCAAACACTTATTTGCTTGAGTCAATGTTTTGAACTCTAACTTAAACACAAGCAGGTCCGACTGGAGCCGTCACTGCACTCACACATCTGCTTACAGCACAGAGCAAACACGCATTACAGCCGGCGCTATTGCTACATTACAGGACGCTGATGGCTCAGCCTAGTCTGAGACTGATCTGGCACTCTGTCCACTGTACAGCTTTATGTCAGTATCGATTACATGAGTAATCAAGTAATCTACTGATTATGTTGATGATTAATCGAGTCTGCAGAGGTTGAACAAAAGAATGAATAATAAAAATGGACGTGAGTGAATGATAAACCACGCAGAGACTCCAAAATACATAACTGGATAAAGCTAAACTATGAAGCCATTAACCCTTGTGTGGTGTTCAGGTCTGTGGGTCCCATTTTCAATGTTTACCAAAAGAAAAAATGATGTGATTTATTATTATTTCAACCTCAGATTCTTAGCCTTTGCTCATTTTCTGTGAAAAGCATATAAAATAACCCATTTTCAGTGTCTTCACTCTGTTCACCCCCACACATTTATATTACACATGTGGTGTTGGGTGAACCTGCGGGGAGTAAAAGTGTGGAGGTGCTGTGTCCTTCACTCTGTTCTCCTTCTACATGGCCTGCTGTTAGTGTGTGTGTGTCTGTGTGTGTCTGTGTGTGTATGTGTTTGGACAGGCTGCTGACTGGCTACAGCTGCTAAAGGAGAACCCTACGCTGGCCACTTGTGATATTTTAAACATCTGGTATTTTTACATAAACTGTTATGGCTGTATTGATTTAAAAAACAATGATGTGGTGGGTCCAGCAGACCACTGAGTAACAAACACATCAACACCACACAAGGGTTAAAAAGACTACATCATATATATGCATACAACATTATATATGGGTAAAAATGCATACAAATGTGTGTCCTTTAGGCTGTTTCTGACTGTAAGAGAGATCAGTAGGAGAGTTTAAAATATGCACCGTCATCATGCAAACTGACAACTAATCACATAATAATGACAGCTGAAAATAAATCAGAATCAGACCTGGGGGCAAAAATATCACATCATTTTATTCAACATTTAACTTTCTGTACGGCACTAAAGCCAATTAAACAGGACTAATTATGGTCTCTTTTCGATCCAACATCAAAGTTGTTCAGTGTTCTTTAAATACAGACAATACTATGATATACTCACAAAAGCACACTGTCTATCACAGTAACAACATTTATCACAATAACCATACAATATCGTCATATTGCCCATCCCTAATGTGGTCATAACACAATCTCACACATTGGCTTTTTTGAACACTTTTTAGCAGAATTTGTGTGCCATCATTTATAACAACATCTCTCTCTCGTGCTCTCTCTTGCACATCCTTCTGCAAAGTTTAGTGCACAATTTCTAATTATTTATTTTAATATATTGAAAAAAACTCATAACTTTTGCACAGAGCACATTTTATATTTAGTTTTTTCCAAATATGTTAAAGAAAATAAACGGTAATTGTGCATTAAAATGTGCAGAAGTGTGTCTCTGTGGAGGACGTGTTCACTTATTTACACTAAGAAAATCAACAACATGTGTCATTTGACCAAGAGTGCACAAACTTTACATATGACTGTGTCTCTTTACCTATTTGTCACTTTTCTTGTGATGCAAGATGTCAGAAAACGATAGACTAACAACCAGGAGCAGCTACACTCTAACCCCCATGTGTCAAACACAAGGCCCGCAGGCCAAGTCAGGCGCATGACACAGTCCTATTGGGCCAAATTAATTTTATTTTCGATTCTTATTAGCCTGTTTCACCCCGAGATGCACTACGGTCCCCAGCATGCACTGCAACATAGTGTGCGTTTTGACCCACAACAACAATCTATGGGCCAGCAGTTACACAAAAAGAAAAGATGCCTGGTGTCCAGTTCAAGCCAATAGGCAGTTTAAAAAAAAAATTAATTAAATGTAATTTTTTTATTTAGAATTATTTATTTTATTACAGTAAATTATTATTTTTGAATAAGTACTTAGTGCATATTTTGCTGTTGCGGTTTTGGCATATTTTTAATAAACAATGGCTCATTCGGGTCAAGGCGAAATGAGTAAAAATGAAATAAAAGCACAGCTGGACGACAGATTTGCTGAGATTTTTTAATATGGCCCTTTTAGTATTTCTGCTCTAACCTCACCATAATCATCATAAACAGACTGCTGCCAATTAATAACTGCCAGTTTTGTGTTGTTCACCTTTTTTCCTTTATCCTGCTGAGATTACACTTGCAGTTTTATGCTAAATAAACAACTGAATATTTGAACAACTCATGATTAAATACTTTTACAATTACTTCTTAAAGGATTTAAACAAAAATCTGGACAAACCTTTGAGTGGTCATCTGCTTACCTACAACCTGCCCATAACATTATGTCACTCGCTCTGAATGTCTGGATTAAATCAGGTAAAAAGCAGAAGTGGGTCTTTTAAACGTGCTCCATCTCACCTTTCTGTTCAGCTCAGCAGTGCAAATATCACCGATCGGTCGGCTCAGTGTTGCTGACAATGTGCTGCATGTGGCTGTTCACAACAGTAGAGCCCCTGTCCTGTACATTTCCCCTGCTCTAACACACCTGATCCAACCAACCAGCACAGTAACAAGACTTTAAATGGTGTGTGAATGTTTAGAATGAAGAAAGTAGTGAAAAATAGCAAGCATGTGTCTTGGGGTGTGGATTTTTCCTTATTTTTTCAAAGCATGCATGTCAGGAAAGAGTAAAACTAGCAGCCTGGAACGTTTTTTTTGTGTATGCATATCATTATTTACAACAACGTGCACGTCAAGATATAGACGACTAGCAATCAGGCTTATTTGGGAGCTGATATGGGACTTTTTTGCTGTGCGTGCAACAACCTGCTTATCAGGAATGAAGAAAGTACCAATCAGATGCATTTTGGAGCAGATTTGTTTCTGCTTGTACTTCACTCTGTCCTGCACGTCCTGCTCGGATTGATTAGAGTGATTCACTATTATTTTATAAAGGGAAAAAACCGACTGCACAATCTTTTGAGTGGTCATCCACCCATAAATTCATCGCATTCACTTGCTTGTTTTAAGCCATGATGTCATTTATAGTAACGTGCATGCTGAAGATGAAGAAAACTAGTAATGAGTTGTATTTCTGGATAGAGTTTGCATGCTGCACGATGCATGCGGCCATTTGCAACAACATGAGGGTCAAGGAGGAACAAGACTAACAATCAGATGCAGCTGGGATGAGAAAACGTTTCACTGTGACGCAAGATGTTGTTTACTATGAAATGCTTAACAGAAAGTGGACAAATGAGCAATGGGGAGCAGGTTTCTACACCCTTTAGTAAAGAAATGGTTCTATAAAGAACCATGAACACATAAAGAATCCCCTTGCTTGATTAAAGGGTTCTTTGCATGGTGCCATGGTTCTTCAGTGACGGAGAATGTGCCAAAAGGGTTCTTCTACTGTTACACGCTTGACATCGTAACAACAGAAGGACGCTTTTGGATGCTATATAGAACCCTTTCAAAAAGGTTCTAGATAGCACCGTCTACAGCACATTCTGGAGAATTCTTTCATGATGCGAAGAACATTTTAATCATGCAAAGGGTTTTTTGAGTGTTTATGGTTCTTTATAGAACCATTAACTTTACTAAAGAACCTTTGAAGAGTGTGGCTTTTGTTTGGAACCTAGCAGGCAAAAACAAACAAACAAACAAGCAAACAAACAAAATATGTTCCTATGTTTTACCTTTATATCTCAATGTTTATTACTCTTTTCAGTCTTTTCTTCAGACTCAGCTTGTGCTCCGTGTCAGTGCTGTGGTCAGTGCTGAGGAACTGACCAAAGTTATTGAAGTTATTCTCATTTATTAGTTATTCAACAATTCGGAATCAATAACATTATTCTAATCTACTGCCCTGTTCAGCTTCACAGCAGTTAGCACTCTTAAAAAAGACGGTTCTTCAAGGGTTCTTTAGTAAAGACATTGATTCTATATAGAACTATGAACACTCAGAGAACCCTATGCATGCTTAAAAGGTTCTTTGCATGGTGAAATAGTTCTTCAGATTGATGGAGAATGTGCTGTATATGGTTCTATACAGTACCAAAAAGGGTTCTTTTATTGTGACAAGCTTGACTTCACAACAATAGCAGAACCCTTTTTGATGCTATATAGAACCACATACAATTCTTTGAGTGTTCATGGTTCTATATAGAACCAAAGAGTTCCACATGTTCCTATGTTTTACCTTTTTATCTCAATGTTTATTACTCTTTTCAGTCCTGGTTCTCTGTTCTAGCGCTCAGCCACACAGCAAAAGAGGGTGACCCTCTATGTACTCTGAGTGTAAACAAAGACTGATTGATTGATTGATTGACTGACTGACTGAAACAAAAACTCAAAAAAGAACACTCACCCGTTCTCCAGCAGGGTCATGCACACCACCTCCCTGACCCCGGGGTTGTTGGCCTTGTCGCTGGAGCAGCGCTGCAGGTCCCACGTGGCCACGCGCATCAGGGGCTTCCCGTGGCGCGCGCGCTCCTGAGCCTGCACCCCATCGGGACGCGATGACGCCATCTGTTCCGGCCCCCCGGGAGGCAGGCTGTCGGTGGGGCTGGCTCTGCTGCTGCTGTGCGGCTGGCTGTGGGTGTTGTGGTCGGTGGTGGAGCTGAACTCAGCACTGACTCCGTTGCCCGGCGCGCTGGAGGACAGCGAGGAGGAGGAGGATGAAGATGAAGGCGGAGATCCTCCTCTTCCACCTCCTGCCTTGCTGCTCACGCAGATCTCCGGCTTCACGAGCTGCAGCCTAGCCGCCCCTACCCCGCTCACGAGCGCCAGGTCCTCCACCCTCCTGAAGCCGCCGATGCGCGCGCGGTGCTGCACGATGTTGCGCGCGAGAGCCCGCGTCACTCCGGGCAGGGTCATGAGCTCCTCCTCGGTGCACGAGTTGATGTCCAAACACTGATGCTGGTGCTGCTGCTGTTGTTGTTGTTGTTTATCTTGTTGTTGTTGTTGTTGTTGCAGCTGCTGTTTCACTAGAACATCGCTGAAGTTGCACGCGGCGCTCAGTTTGCGCCCCAGCTCGCTGGGGTCGCGCGGGATGGAGCGGTGGCACCCCAGACTGCCCCCCATGGCACTGAAGACCCCTAAAACAGCGCGCTCGGCATAGCACGTGTGCTCCGTCCAGCTGTGTCAAACCGCTCCGCGCGCCTCTCTCTACTCTCTTCCTACAGCGCGAGACTCTCAACAGCACGACTTTTGTAGAACTGAAGCGCTGCTTCTGGGAGCGCGCGGAGTCATGCAGAGGAGGCGGGGCTTCGATATAAGTGTCACGCAGAAAGGGGCGGGACTTCAACGTCAGAGTCATTACTTAAGAACGGGGCCTCGGCACCAGAGTCACTAGAAGGGGCGTGGTCTCTTTTCAGGGAACCTCTGGGGGCGTGGCCTTTGACCGTGCCGGGGTGTGGCATCTTTTCAGGGTCACGCAGAAGGGGCGTGGCTTCCAGCGCTGTTGGATTCAGCTTCACAACAGTTAGCACTCTTAAAAAGGATGGTTCTTCAAAGGTTCTTTAGTAAAGACATGTTTCTATATAGAACTATGAACACTCAAAGAACACTTGCATGCTTAAATGGTTCTTTGCATGGTGAAATGGTTCTTCAAATTGATGGAGAATGTGTTGTGGTTCTATACAGTACCAAAAAGGGTTCTTCTATTGTTACAAGCTTGACTTCACAACAATAGCAGAACCCTTTTTGATGATATATATATAATCACATACAATCAGAAGAACCATTTCACCATACAAAAGGTTCTTTGAGTGTTCATGGTTCTATATAGAACCATATATTCACCAAAGAACCCTTGAAGAACCATCTTTTTTAAGAGTGTTGGACACTAATCTGTAATTAAAAATGAAGAAATGTTAAATGTGTCCAGACTGGTGAACAAATCAGTACTCACTTAAAAAAGATGGTTCTTCAAGGGTTCTTTGGTAAAGGAAAAGGTTCTACAAGGAACCATGAACACTCAAAAAAAAACATTGCATGATTAAAGGGTTCTTTGCATCATGAAAGGGTTCTACAGAATATGTTGTAGATGTTCTATATAGAAACTTTCTGAAAAGCGTTCTATGTAGCACTGAAAAGGGTTCTGTCAAGCTTGTAACAATAGAAGAAACCCTTTGGGGTGCTATATAGAACCCTTTTCAAAAAGGTTCTATATGAAACCATCTACAGCATATTCTGTGTCAATATGAAGAACACTTTCATGATGCAAAGAACCCTTTAAATTTTTTTTGAGTGTTCATGGTTCTCTATAGAACCTTTTACTTTACTAAAGAACACTTGAAGCACCATTTTTTTGAAGAACCTTTTTATGGGACCATTAAAATAAGAAAGTTTTACCTTTTCCTGTAATGTTTTTTTGGAGATAAAAGGTTTTGCTCAGGTAGCAACAATATGTAAATTGAACAAGCAGTCCAGGCTGAAACACTCCTTATAACATCAGTGTGAGTGGGCGGGGCTAAACTGCTGTGGGCTGAATGGGTGGACATATGTTGTGACATCACAAAAACAATACATTCAAAATTGGCCAATACAACAAGCAAAACTGAAACTATTGGCGTCACTTTTTTCTTGTCAGTAATGTTTTCACTGTTGCTTTAGTTTATCATAAATATCCTTCTATTTTGGTTTTATTAGATCTTAGTGCAGCTTTTGATACTGTTGACCACAAGTAATAGGCAGTTCATGGTTTCACTTGGAAATCATTCATCAGAAAGATTTGCCATTTCTTGTGGAGTCCCTCAAGGTTCAGTTTTAGGGCCTTTGCTTTTCTCTTTGTACATGCTACCTCTAGGTGATGTCATTAGAAAGCATAGTATAAATTTTCATAGCTATGCTGACGACACCCAGTGATACATTTCCATTCCTTCTGATGATCAAGACTCTGTAGACAGACTAACCTGCTGTGTGTCAGATATTTCTCAGTGGATGTCATAAAATTTTCTACAATTAAATCATGAAAAAACTGAAATATTGATTGTTGGTAAAGAAACTCAGAGAAAAATGATTTATGAGAAACTCAGCTTCATCTACCAAACCTGAAGTAGGAAACCTGGGTGTGATCCTAGAATCTGAGCTCTGTTTTATCTGCATGTAAACACAGTCACTAAAGTAGCTTTTTATCATCTGAGAAATATCACTAAAGGCCTTTTCTATCTCAGAGCGATGCAGAGAAACTTGTTTATGCATTTGTTACAAGAAGAGTTGATCACTGCAATGATCTTCTTACTGGACTTCCTTAGAAAACAATACATCCCTTACAACTCATACAAAACACATCAGCATCCTAACAAAAACAAAACAGACAGATCAGATCACTCCTGTTTTAAAAGAGCTACACTGGCTGCCTGAATCGCTCAGGATAGATTTTAAAGTTCTGCTACTAGTTTTTAAAGCTCTAAATGACCTTAAAGCACCGCTTACATCACAGAGTGTCTGTGTGTTTATGTTCCAGCATGTAATCTTAGATCTGTAGATACTGACCTTCTACAGATACCCTCTGTAAAATACAGAAAACATGGAGAGACTCTTTCAGTTATTCTGCTTCTAAACTGGGGAACTCAATTCCACCTTTTATTAGACAGTCAAGCTCAGAGCTCACTTTTAAGAAGCATCTAAAAACTTATCTCTTTAACTTAGCATTTCATTAAAACTCTACGTCTCGTGGTGTTTATCTTCTAATTGGATCTTTTTCATTTTCTTCTGATTCTAAATAAATACTAATGATTTCTTGTATAACTATGTTTTATCACCTGTTTGTAAAGCACTTTGAGTTGCCACCAGCATGAAAAGTGCTACATAAATAAATATTATTATTATTATTGTTATTATTATTATTATTATATGAAAGCAGCTCTATTTATCATAAACACTCAGCTTCATGTTCATCAAAGTGTCTTCCTTGGTATAAAGAGCAGGTTTTAAATAATGAATTGACTGGTTTCCAAACTATTGTTAAAAGCACATATTGAAAGCAGCTGAAAGGTTTGAGTGCTGATGACAGCTGACATCACAACAAGGAGATAAAACGAGTGGACTTTGGCTTTATTCCCAATGTAGTAACACTTTTCCCAAAGTTGTGACAGGCAGTGGACACAGGAAGCTTCAGTAAGTGGGTTAATCAGTAGAAAAAACACAGGCAGCTCAGTTACGACCCACACACCACTGAACCGCCGGAACATTTGGAGCAGCCTGAGGCTGCAGAGCTCTGTACACAGTGCTGACAGGTCTCCTCTCAGTGTTAGGGGTAATTAGCAAGTCAGATTTTAAAATGCCACATGAGAGTAACAAGGACAGCCTGTTCAGTATCAGTATTTAGTGCCCATTAACACAAGAGCTGATGAGCAATACCTGTCAAAAGTGTGAGGAAACTAATACTCAATTAAAACTACTGCAACTTTGATAAGATAAGCACTGCAGAAAAGAAAACAGCTTAAGCAGAAGAACAAAAGTCTCGGAAAACCACTTAAAGGGGAATTCAACATTTGCCAATAATTCCTGCATAATTCAGTGGTTGAGATGTAAACAGAGTCATTCAGAGTGGTTTGGTTTGAAATGGTTGATTGTAGAGACTCAGATGTGATAGGAACCAGGGGTCACCATGTCTACAACACAAATATAGCCATTTTATTTACTATTCAAAACCACCAGTCAACCTACATGTGTCTTTTGAAAGTTTTATATGGAATGTTGATGATGGTAATAAAGTGATAAATCTGAAATGATACATTTCCTATTTTAAGCCAAAGTCTTCTCAAAACCATCATGAAACAATGACTCAGACATCAGGCAGTGTATTCATAACCATTTCATGTAATAGCTGAAATATGCAAGGCCTTCCCTGAAAGAGACGCTGTCTGGATGGCAGCATATGTTGTTCGAAAACCTTTATATACTGTTCAGCATTGATAGAGCCATTCCAGATGGGTAAGCTGCCATAGACACTAATGCAACCCCAGACCATCAGAGATGCAAGCTTTTCAACTGTGCACTGTACACAAGCTGGATGGTCCCTCTCCTCTTGAGTCTGCAGGACACGGCGTCCGTGGTTTCTAAAAAGAATGTCAAATTTTGATTCATCTGACCACAGAACAGTTTTCCATTTTGCCTTAGTCCATTTTAAATGAGCTTTGGCCCAGAGAAGACGGCAGCGTTTCTGGATCATGTTGACATATGGCTTCTTCTTTGCATGATACAGCTTTAACTTGCATTTGTGGATCACACGGCAAACTGTGTTCACAGACAATGGTTTCTGGAAGTGTTCCTGAGCCATGTAGTGATTTCCAGTACAGAATCATGCCTGTTTTCAAAGCAGTGCTGCCTGAGGGCCCGAAGATCATGAGCATCCAATACTGACTGTCGGCCTTGTCCCTTGTGTACAGGGATTTCTCCAGATTCTCTGAATCTTTTGATGATATTATGTACTGTAGATGGTGGGATACCTAAAGCCTTCACAATTTTACGTTCAGGAACATTTTTCTGAAATTGTTTCACAGTTTTTTTTGTTTGTTTTTTGTTTTTTAGACACAGTTTTTCTCAGATTGGTGAACCTCTGTCCATCTTTGCTTCTGAGAGACTCTGCCTCTCTAAAATGCTCTTTTATACCCAGTAATGTGAGTTAGTTCCAAATTGCTTCTCCAGCTGTTTTTTATTAGCACCACTTACTTCTCCAGCCTTTTGTTGCCCCTGTCCCAACTTTTTTGAGATGCGTTGCTGCCATCAAATTCTGAGTTAATATTTTTTCATGAAATGGTAAAATGTCTCACTTTCAACATCTGACATGTGTTCCATGTTCTACTGTGAATAAAATACGGGTCTATGAGATTTGCAAATCATTGCATTCTGTTTTTATTTACATGTATTTACATTTTACACAGCATCCCAACTTTATTGGAATTGGATATGTATATATATAGCACACTCACTCTGCTTCTCAGTAACCCTGTTTAACTCTAATTTGAACTGAGGGTCAGTCTGACTGACAGATGGACAATCAGCTTCTTCGGTTAATGAGTTCAGGTCTTCTCTGTGCCAGACTGTGTGAGAGCCAAACGTCCCCATAACGACAAAGTGGTCATGTTTTCACCATCCTGAGGACATTCAGACCCCATAAAGGGCTAAAACTTACACACGTTTGTATTTCTATCTACTGCATCTGTAGAATCTTGAATGCTTCTTCTTCACTTTATCTGTCTTAACTTTTCCCTATTTCAGA